TGTAAGTAAATTGTAAAAAGAGACTCCCAACTGCTGTGTGGGAAACAGAATGCACAGGCAAGTGTGAGAGGAGGGAGGCCCCAGGCAGGAGGAGACCAGGTGGCAGTTAACAGTGCGGGAGGAGAACCATGTCTGGGGAGGGGAGCTGGGACGAATTGGTTCACCAAGGGGTGATGCACCACCTATGCAAAGGGGGATGAGAAAGGGGCTGCAGTGTCGGTGGCCTAATGAGCTGCTGGATGGCAGGTATATGGGGGCAGATCCTGGAGGGGAAAGCAGGGAAAGTGAAGCTATCTGGACAGGTCATTTTCAAGCTGAAGGGGAGGCACCCGGCTCCAAGGCATGTCACAGCTGGGATGCACTCTAGAGATGGTCGTTAGGCAGATTTACTGATGCCTCTGGGAATATACAGTGAACAAGGCACAGCCTCTCCCTCATAGAGCTTACACTCACCAAGGGAGGCCTGCCCTGAACAAGTGAGAAATGCAATGAGGAAATGGGAAGTGCAAGGTGCTCAAGGAGTGAATCTCAGGTGCCCCCAGAAGTGTGGGGTGAAATATCACAGACTTACAGTGTGTCAGGCATCCCACATGGTGCCTAGGAGGCCTTGGCAAAGGGCCAGCAACTAGTGAGAAGGATCCACTGCAGAGCTTGCAGGGTTTCTTTTTGAGTGTGATGAACCAAAAGTTGGATACACTGTGTTAGTGAGGAGAAACACATACTTTCACTGCAACATATATCTGTGTGATCTCGGTGGAGGGCAGCTTTGCAGAATCTACAAAATTCCCCTGTGTATGTTCCCTGTTCCCATTAATGCCACTTCTAGGGACTTATTCTGACACACATGCACACGTGTGAAATTAGAAACAAATACAGAAGTAGCATTTACTATGACACTGTCTTAACGCCGGATTAGAAATAACCCAATGTGCACTCAGCCAGGGGACTGGCTGAATAAACAATGTTACTTCACCAGGCAGAACACTAAACAACAAGAAAAAAAGAAAAGCTCCTTTTGGACAGACAGGGATGATCTCTACACGATGTTATTTTGGAAGGAACGACGGATTTCATGAACCCCTTGGGGACAATATGGCTACCTGTGCCTATCTGCTCGCATATGCACACAATTTTTCTGGAAGGACACATGCCAACGTGTCATGGATGTGTCAGGGATGACATGGTTGGGAGTGACCTGAAGCGGCAGCGGCGCCCTCACCTGTACTCCCGCTCCTGCAGAATCTCCACAGGGTCCAGGCCCCGGGGTTTCTGGATGGGAGTGATGCGGCTCTGCTTCTGGTGTAGCGGTACCATGGGGGCAGGCTGGGCCGGCTGCCCTGGCGACTGCGTCTGGGGTGGCATCACAGGAGAGGCAGCGGGCGGGACAGCAGGGGGTGCAGGTGAGGGACGGCCTGTAGGCTGAGGGGGGATCAGCTTCTGAGGTGTGCTTGTGGGGGCAGCAGCATTCGCCATAGGTCCTGGGGAGAGTCAAGTAGCAGGAGCACAGCATTGAGCTTCAGGTCAATTCCAGTGGAAATAAAAAGCCTGCATGGTGCTCACTGCCCCAGTGACAGACAGACTGTCCGGGTCACACCTCCCCATCTCCCTGCCCCTTACTGAACTGGCATGGCAGGCAGCTTCTCACTCAGGGGTCTCCTCTCTCCTGCCTCAAGATTCAAGCCTCTTCCAGATCTCAGCCTACATGCCCTTCCCGGAAGCCCTGCACTGATCCAAGTGCCGACCCTGAGTTCGTTCTTCCTGGGCAGCATTTTCCTGACTTCCGTCTACTACGGTTCAGATGAAATCACAGATTTAAGTGATTAGCTCATCTATGCTCATCACTAAACCTCAGGCTCACAGTGGTTCTCAACCTCCTGGCCCTTTAAATACAGTTCCTCATGTTGTGAGCCAACCATAAAATTATTTTCGTTGCTACTTCATAACTGTAATGTTGCTACTGTTATGAATCGTAATGTAAATATCTGATATGCAGGATGGTCGTAGGCGACCCCTGTGAAAGGGTCGTTCGACCGCCAAAGGGGTCATGACCCACAGGTTGAGAACCGCTGCTCTAAGAGGCTAGGAAACAAATCTATTTTGTCTACTGCTTTCACCCAACAGAAGTGACCCTCAAATCCTTGCTGAAACTACACTTGACAGAAGGAAGAGAAACTGAACATGGTGAGGAGACAGAACCCTGAACTACCCTGTCATTTTGCTGGCTTCCCATAATATTGGGGGGCATCCCAGGAGGGAAGGGAAGTCAGTTGTAACCTACAGGCATGGAGGCACCAGGTCCTGAAGGGTCGTGTCTATGGCTACAGCCGTGCCTCCCCACAGCCTCTCACTGGAGTTACAGTGAACTTGTTCATTCATATTCTTCTCATTAACATTTTAAAGATAGCCCAGGATCTCCATGACCCACAGGACAGGAAAAGGGTGGGCAGGAATTGTGGAGTGAACCCAACCCAAGCCTTTAGAAAATAACTGGGGATAGATAAGACACAAAGAAGACAGCAGGAAGAAGCAAGGACTTGTCCTTGGCCCTTTCTCTCTCTGGACAGACAGGCTCATCTCAGGATCTGCACTGCGTAACCTCATGACATAAGTCAGGGCACAGAAATGTCACCAGGACAGAGGGTACTCACCTTCAGGCCATGGCTTGGGAGGCCCTCCAGGGGGTTGGCCCGGCATACCGGGGGGCACTCCTGAAGGTCCTGGGGGTGGCATATTGGGCCCTCCCATACCTACACACAGGGAAAAACAAACAATAGGATAAAATGTGTCCTGTGCTCATCCTGCACCCACCCCCATGGGCAGCCCTGTCTCCAGGGGACACACCCAACAACAAGCCTTGAAGTGTGGGCATCAAGGGAAAGCAGGGAGCTGGAGAAAGAACTTTTATTCTGACAACAGCCTTGCCTGCCCGCCTGAGTACCAGACACTGTGCCAGCCCCAAGGGGAAAACTTGTGGGCAGCAGAGCCCAGGTCTGCCTGACACTGTTGCCCCTACTGGGTCAGTTTGCTGAGACTTCTCCCTCCCCCAAAGGCTGGGGATAGTGGGCCTTACCATGGGGCCTGCTGTAATTTGGAGGTGCTGGGCCTGGGCCTGGTCCAGGGCCAGGGCCAGGGCCAGGGCCAGGTCCTGCTGCAGACACAGAGGGTGGAGGTAGTGTTGGCACCTGCTGCTGCATCCCGGGCATCGGTCGCTTGCCCTGCACTGCCATCTGCAGGTGGTCAGGCAGGGGTTGCCCCCTGGCCAGCATCTTGTAGGCCATGATCTGAGCTCTGAGCTGATGCAGTTGGTTCTGATTAAATGGTGTTGGGCCCCGGTTCTGCTGCCCCAAAGACTGGGGGTCAGCGCCATCCAGCGGGGCCCCTCCTGGTCCAGACGACATCTGTGGGCCTGAGGATGGGCCACTGGCTGGAACCGGACTAGAGGCGTGCTCGGAGCCACCCAGTGGTGAGGGGTAACCTGCAGAAAATGCAGATTCCAGAGGTCACTCAGGAGTATACATTCAAAGATTTTTAAGGCAAAGACGATAACCTTTCCGCCAGGCTTACACTGGCACCTACCCTGAGACATGGCATGACCAAATTTTTTCATTCTTGTAATTCAAACAAGAGGCACCCAGAGGGCACTGACCAGCAGCCGGTGTGATTGGTTTTGTTTGGCCCATCTTTCAGTAAGTTGCTGATGGTCATACTGAGAAGTTACACAGATACTAGCTTTCTCTGGGCCTCCCATCCTGACCCTCGCCCTGTTCAGACCCACTCTCCTCACTTCTCTGACCTGGGGAGCTCCTGAGTTTCCTGCCCTAATGACAAGAGGTCAACTACTCTGTCACTTTTCAAAGTTCTGGAAAAGCCACTTGGAACGCTCCGTAAAGCAGCTTGGGCCCCACTCCCAAGATTCTGACCGAGCTGGTCCGCAGTAGGACCCAAGAATCTGCATTTCTAATACACTCTTGGGTGACACCAGAGCTGCTAACCTGAGGAGCCCGCTTGTCCAGCTGTCATCTCACACCCAGCACTAAACACAGTTCATTCCCACCGGTATTCACTCTCCTGGGCTGCTCTGAGACAGAAAGCCCAAACAGGGCACCAGCCAAACCTAAGCTCAACAGCCCTCTGTGGCAGGGTTTCCGCACTGCCCCATGTCCTCCCTGTCTACCCGTGGGAGACCTGATTAGGAAAATGACCTTAGGACTCCTGGGGGGTGACAAACATGAGGAAAGAAGAGAAACAAAATACCTTGGGAGTGCTGGTCCATGGGGCTCGGTGGAGGCCCCATCCCTGCGTGGCCCCCTGACCGCATCCCCATCCCCTTCATCTGGTTGTAGCGGGGGTCATCCGACATGCCCTTCTCATGCATGGATTCCATTGGCTGCAAGAGGGGGGTAATGACAAGGCAGGATCAGCAAGTGGGGACAGGATGAGATGGCACAGCAAAGCACTGCCCAAGAGGTCAATGTCACTGAAAACACTATGGCATTTACTGAATTGCCAACATGACCAAACAGCTTAGGTCCAAGACATGGTCCTGACAGCTACAGTCAAGCAGATGCATAAAATAATACCAACCAATGGAGGATGACTGCCTAGGAGACCAGTGGTTGAAGGGCAGGGGGACAACCAGATCAGAGCACTCGGCAAGAATAGGAGACAGTTTCAGATGGCCAGAATCCCACAAGAAAGGACATGAGTGACAGCTTCTGGTCAGGGGCAGTTTTAGCTAGAACTCAGGACTCTCTGTCATTGCCACAAGGAAACCTTGTCACCACAAATCTTGAGATCGGGGACCCTCTTCCTTGGGAGTCTGTAAATCAGAGGAACAGACAGAAACTTCTGCCCATGAGTATGGTAACAATACATCAGATGTCCTCGGTGATCCAGTATCGGCCTCCTGCTAGCTGGGAGGGAGGCTATCTAGGGCATCGTTCTGACAGAATGATGACACCTATTTTCCCTCCTAATCTCAGCACAAACACTTCCCCTATGGAAATGGTTGTTAAAGGGGACCTTTTCTTAAGACCCTTCCAGGGCACTCTGCTAGGCCCTGGTGAACGCAAATGTCCTGTTTTCTGGGATCTTAGTCTAATGGGTAACCCCCCATCAACTGCAGCTCAATATGTGTACAGTGAAAGGAGGCCAAGAGGGTGCCTGCTGAGACAGGAGGGGCAGCTGTCTACACAGGAAAAGGGTAGAGCACCCTCGGAGGCTGACAGGAGCCCTGGGTGGGGGCCTGCCCTCTACACCTCTTTCCTGGGATGGGCTTGTCTCCAGAGTGGGAGCTCTGTACAGACAGGAGGTGCCCCCCCGCCCCACACACACACCAGACCCCGGCTCCTATGCTCTTGACACTGGGCTGGACACACGGCAGGCCGCTGACAGAGGTTTGAAAATGTGCATGGAGTGTGTGTTAGCAGTCCCAGGAGGAAGGAACAAATGGGCAGAGAGGAAGAGGGGGCTATGCTAAAGAACAGGGCCTAAATTGGTGTTGTGTGCAGAGGGTAGTCACCAACAACTTCCCAGGAAGGCAGTGACAAGACAGATACTGTACCAAAGTTGACAGAAATATACGGGAGATGGGAGGGCAGGGAGGGGTTCGCTTGGCTGTGCTTGGAGGTCACTGAGGTGGCTCAGGCCTGGGGTGCAGGGAGCAGCAGAGGGATGAGATGATTCTACCACTAATTTGCTGAGTGCCCGTCTCTCTGGGACTCTGGTTCATGGTCTATAAAATGGGCATAATACTCACCTATACCTGATGGGTGGGGGAGTGGAATGGGGAGCAAACACATAGATAGCGCAGGTAGGGAGCCCAGAGGGTTACCAAGGTCCCCTTTCCCCCAGGTCACACCATCTGCATCTTCTACCTGCGGACTTCCTGTGGTCTCTGAGGTTGAGGAATGGCACCCTTTCCTGCAGGTGCTAATACATATAAGAGGACAGGTTCCTTGTTTCCTTCAACTACCTCTCAGGAACACAGAGAAAGAGGAAACTATTTGTGTTGACGGTTTTTCACCTCACTAGCAAAAGCAGCCCTAATCGGGTCAGGTAAGTGGTGACCCAATGAGGACAACTGCCCTGCTCTATGGGTTACATGGGTACACAGAGCAACCAAACTGGAAGAGTCCACTTGCCTTCAGCTATCTTTTAGGGATTTGGACATTTTTATTCATTAATGAAAGGCAACTTAGGAGTAATGTTACCACATTTCCTACCTAGAAAAACGGGTGTGAGAGACACACAGGGGA